ACTCTTGCGAGAATGCAGGTACGAGTATGAGGCTTCTACTCCGAAAACGCGAGTTTTCCTAAGAAAGAAGAAGCCAACCATCCAGGGAATCCAAGATCCGAAACGCATTTCCTAACGACATCGAATTGAAAAAATAGGGAATGTATGCAAGCAAAAGACTAAAGAGAAGAAACCGGATATAACTCTGCAGACTGCTTCTTGCATGAAGACACCGACGAATTTCAATGCACTACTAAAGCGAAGATGTTATGATCCATTCTCTGAGAATCGAACCGCCATCTCCTTGAGAAGGAAAATCAAGAACCAGAGGCTGAAAGACCCTTCAACCCCTCAATCTGCCCCTCAAAACTCCCCCCCCCCTACAACAGTGTCCTAACACTGCTCAACAGCGGCACCTTGGCACCCAGGGGGCCTCTCCCAGCACGAGTGGCGCTGAGGGCTTTCACTGCGAGCTTGTGCCTTCGGATTCTGGGGGGGAGCGAAGGGAAGCTATGATTGGGCCGGATGGTCGGTGGCCGTGGGTTTCAAGGAAGTGGATGCTTGTCACTGCTGCTTGACGTGCCGGTTTGCATGGAAAACTCTTCACAAGTCGACTTGACAAAAGTAGTGACACAGTGTGATGTCGCGCTGTTGCAAGCCCGGGCGCTCTCCGTTGGACAGCTGCCTGAGGCAAGAAGCCTGGACATGCAAGGTGCTTCAGGGCATTTCACGGTTCTCCACAACCTTGTCCAGAAGTTGTAGAGCCGTGGGACATTTAGATCTGAGGAGACCTAGAACTTCCAGCATGATAAGGCCAGGGACACTGCTTAAAGCCTTCTTGCAGGGACTTTGCAGTTGTGTCCAATTGCTGCTTTCACTGTCAAAGACTCAAAGACCGCTCATTCTGGTTTGGGCGGGGGGGGGGATAAATTGTTATTCTTTAAGTTCACTCATTTTCTTCATTAATTAGCCAATTCATCAGTCACAACTGTAGGGTCTAAAAAACACAAAAAATGCTAAGGAAAAAACAATTTGACAATCCCTGCCCCAAGCCCCCAAAAAATCAAATAGATAACTCAGTATTTGCGCCCCACCACGGCTTTGGGATTCTTGGCTTTGGAGGCAGCAGGAGAAAACTCCAAGGATGGATGCCCAAGTCATTCGCAACTGACCTGCCCGTGAATTACTGGTCGGAATTCAAGGTTTGGGATCAACGTCCTGGAGAGTGGGCCCGAGCCCGAGGGCCATGACATGCTGACGCATCCACATCGGAAGCCCAAGCAAGATCAAACAAGATCCGTGTTGCATGAACGTCAATCGCCCCCCCCCCCCCGACCCCCTTTCCAAGATCAAGCCCGTGTTATCCTCTTCTGTTATTGTTATTGCCTGCTGCGGTACACACCTGAGCCGGACTTGCCATTGGGGACTAGAAGCGACGACCTTCTTACAAGCCGCAGAATGTTGCAAGCACACACGTGTGCCCAGGAGCTTTCGGGTGGTTTCTGTCTCTGCCGTCAAGGTAGCTGTGGCGCAGAAGTTGAAGGACATTGGAAGGCTGCAGACTCGACCCACCTGGTCAGATCGTAGGTCTTGTGGATTGTGGCAAGAATCACAAGAATCACTGACAAGAATTCGGAGTTTAGGGTTTCAAGCACCACCCTCCTCGACATTGGGCGTCGAGGCCCAAGGCACGAAAACTGCCCCCAAACGCACGCAAGGGGCTGAGGTGCCGAAACTTACAAAACTCTTCCATTCTCTTCAAACGTTCCCAAAACTTGTAAAGCCCTCAGGCCAAAACAAGCTTAAACTCTTTCACCTCAAGGCTCCGGGTGTAGAATTTCTTGAGGCAAACCCTGCTGCCTCGCGCTGCACGGGCAGCCCCTGTGCACGGGTGGCCTGGCAGAGAAAAACAGAAAGTCCCTTGGTGGCGAGGGTGTTCCTTGTTTCTTTGTGCCTCCTCATCACTCCCGTGCTTCAGAGCTCCAAGCATGCTCAAGAAGCTGGCGCTCCGGCCTTGTAGGCTGCTTGCCAGGCATTCGAGCGGCACGATGTGGCCAAGGAGGTGGGCTTTGAGGCCTGCGTCTTGGTCGCATCTTGCAAGTGGGTTTTTCTTCGGGCTTGTGTTCAGGGGCTCAAACATGCTGACCACTGATTGTGAGGAGGGCATTACTCAATTGGGAGCTCGCCTACTAGAGACATCGTCCCCACGCAGTAGCACCTCAGACCTTAAGCCTGAAGAAATCTAAAGAAACAACTGAACATTCTCTTCCAACATCTTCCATCACATCCGAAAAGCATCGCTCAAACCAGCAGCCTCGGCATCCACCACCAGCTCCCCGTGGAAGGAGAAGTGTGTTGCCACCCACTCATTCAAGTGGTCTTGATCCCCGTATGATCCGAAGTCCTGGGATGCCGGCGCCCCGGGCCCGCAGCAAAGTCTACTGCACTGAGCTGGAGATTCAAGGTTCGGGGCTAGTAGGCATGGCCCTGAGGTTGCCTCGGACCTGAACCTCCGAGAAAGCTAGTAGGCACATGAAGCTAGATGCCCATCCTGCGTCGATGGCGTGGTTGTCCACCACGGCCTTCCCGTCCTTGCTTCAACCCCTCAAAGTGCAAAAGTGCAAGTCCATTCTGCGCAAGATCTACTGAGACATCTCAAGCAGGGCCCATCGACAACCTCAACTCTGACAGTGCAGGTGCCCACGTCCAGGCTGATGTACCACGGAAGCTTGATTGACCCTTCTGCCTATCCTTCTCCCACGAAGACCTTCCACATGAAGCCAGATCACCAGCGCGAAAGCCCCTTCCAGTGAGGATAATCCTCGAGGGATGCACCTGAGAGAGACGTTAGCACTTTTTCAGTCAACGGCTCCGAAGGACTCAAGCGTTGGAGAGCCTGACGTTCTTTGTCTGAGCGCTCGATTCTCTCTTGTACATCCTCTGGCTCTGAGCTTTTGCCGAAGGGCGCAGTGCCTCAAAGACAATGCTGGACGGCCTGGCACCGGGAGTTTGTGCGAACACGCAATGCAAAAGGCGTGTCTCGGGCATTGGAACCATTGCAGGTGGAACACTACCCCACAGCCTGAAGTCCCCAAAACCCCACTGATCTCTTCAAACCCCGGCTCTGTAAATGCACATTTGGACCTGACAATGCATCCCCCATAAGGTGGTACAGGGCAGGCGCCCCTACAGCAGCGGCGGTAGCCTCATACTGCCAAATACCATCAACTATAGCCCAAAGCCAGGGGTTACAGCAGGGCAAAGCTCGCATCCATGGCCTCATGAGCATGACTCCGGCGTTGAAGGCCATCCTAAGGGACTAAGGGAAGCTTCCTTTTGAAGGCTGGGACGGAAGAGTTCAACGATACTGCGAAAGGCGAGCGTCTCGCGAGCTCTGCCTTTTCCAGTCTTAGTCTTTCGCCCCGGCCCGAAAGCCAACAATCCTTAGCCCCGCACGGTACTGCTGTTCCCAGAAGCCTCCCCAACATAGAGGCTCAGCCTAGGCCCCTTGACTGGCAGGAGTCATGGACTTCGTCAGCGCGACTGCAAGCGTCAGCGACTCACCCAGTGTTTGGGCGGCGCAGAAGAGCTCCTGGCAACCATTCCAAAGTGGGGGCCGGGTTGGGACCCTAGGCCAGAGCCTGAAGTCGAAGCCCCCCCCCTCGCCCCAGAATATACAGAAGGTGTAACTTAGTGATGGAAGCGGGGACGGGAATTCAATAGCAGGAACGATTCAAGAGGAATTGGCGCGTTGAGCTGCATGGGACGGCAGAAGAATCGTGCTGGTCACTTATCCGCCCACAACCTAGCCTGGGAACAGGCCTTCTTCGGGGGTGGAGAGCCTTCTTCGGGGTTGGAGAACGGTGCAGGTTTCGGATGCCTATCGCAGTTGTTGAAAATGATCAGGTCCTCCAGGCTATCGAGGACAAGTGTGTCCGAATCCAGGTAAAGCACCAGCTCATACCTACATGGCACATGCGACAAACATTCTGGTAGGATGCAGCACAGAAATTGTATTGGATATTGTGCCGACTGATGTCTGGTGGCCAATGTCGTGTGCCAACGACTATGGTTGCACGATGTCGCAGGCTGGAGACTGAGCAGGTGCAAATCACCGTGACCCAATCCCGGAAGCTTAAGCAACCGCAATTTGAAGTGTTCCGAAGCTTTCCTCACAAGCTGAGAGCGATCTGAGCTGCCCTCTAGGCTGCCACAGCTGCAGCTTCCTGGGTCTGCTTTATTTGCTCTTGACGGAAACTATTAAAATGCAACAACCAGAGTTGTCCTGAAACGTTGGTTGACATGACGGCTTTCTGAAAATCGCCAAGACAAGCTAGCGCCAATTCAGCGAGCGTGCCTGAGCCTTGCAGTGTCACGCTGAAAACATGTTGGACACATGTCAGAGCCCAGCACATTCCAACACAATCGAAGATTATCCGCAAGACAATCAAAGAAAGCCGTCTGAGTCTTCTGTGCCGTTCTTCCCGACAAGCGTCCCCCATGCGCGCGGCCAGAGGTGGGTGGGAGGTGGCTCCAACCGCAGAAAGCGCAAGAGGCCTTGAGCCTCCAACGCCTTTGCAAAAGCTGGTTCATGAGTCATCCGTCATTCAGCAACAGGTCTCGCCGCTGACACCCCGGATCATCAGGGTCCCGCCCCTCCCCCCGCCCCCCCCCCTCCCCCCCATGAAAAGTTGAGAAACATGGCCCCTCCAACCCGGGATACATTGAAATTAAGAAGGGCCTGTAGTGCCTCCTCCGCCTCGACTGGCAGAGACTCCCCATCACGGAGGGAAACGAACACCAAGAAGGGCCTCTCGAAAATTTCGGATCTGGCTTCAGAATCGGCCTTTGGGATATGTGACGATCACCTGCCCTTGCTTTCATCGGAAAGGGGTTCTGGGGTTGGGGACCTCTACGCCCCTCAAGTGTGGATTCTTGACACCCAGGCTCCGGAAGCCCTGTAAACCCCCCATCGGCTGGTGCCTGCAGATTCTTGTGGCCGTTTATCCGTGCTAGAACTATCAGGGCGAGTGCCTTTCCCGGGCAGCGGATCTGCGGATGGAGTGCGCCAGGGTGCGCAGGGCATCCACGTAGGACAGTACAATGGCCTCTAGTGACTCTACTGGGCAACGAAGAAAAGAGAGCCCGCTCTCCGTATACCAAAGAACCAAGCCTGCTAAACGTTGGTGAGCTGAGGTGCCTCGGCATCTGCGAGATCGTCGCCGCCAGAATGCTCCTTCCCTTGACCATCTACACGTATGCTACGGAAGAGGTCCTCCGAAGTGAGAATGGTCGCGATTGCAAAGGCACCCTCCTTGGAGTGCAGCGTGCAGTTTGGAGATTCTGCAGCAGGCCGAGCCACCTCTTGCAAACGCTGCAGGGCACGGTCTGCCACCTTGGGAGAGTTCATAACCCACCCACCGCCCCCCCCACTCCTTGGTTGAGTCAATCTCTCTGGCTGAAAGATCCAGTTGTAGAGGGCTTGGGGCTGTGAACCCTGAAACCAAACCCCTTTGTATTTGAGGAGGGGTTGAAAATTGAGTTCCGCGAGCTGTTGTTGTTTTTCTTTGTGAGGGGGGAGAACAGATGCCAAGGCAACATTAACAAACTAAACCAATAAAAACCTCGCCCTTGACTCAGGATGGCTTGGCAGTTTGCGCAGTTTGGTACACCCCCCACCTCACGATCCTCAAACCAGAACGCTTGCGCAGACAGCCGACAAGCGGGACACACAGCTCCGTCCACCCGGCGATGTGCACTGAGGCAAGGCAGCTCAAAATGCGAGCGGACAAAGCTCTGCAGTTGCTGCAGCTCTGCCCACATGCGGCAGCACGGGCGCTCGTGATCCAAGCCAATGAACCTGCAGGACGAAGCTCTCTCCCGGTCAAATCTGCCAGTTACGAGGGGTGAGCTTCTTCTAGCAGATTCTAGCAAAGATGGACGTTTATACAGCAACTGTTAGTAACTGCTAGTGCTTCGCGGCCATGAATTTTCACAGCTGCACTATGGAGGTCTATGAAGCGCGTATAGTGACGGTTCAGAACGCAAATCAGGCATGCAACACGTCCCATACCAACGGGATGACTCGAGAACGCGAGAGCTCTCAAAGGAATTTTGACGCCAAACACCCCTCCCAGCAAAGCGACCGGGCCGCCGAACCAAATCAAGCTTTCAATTAAAGGTATTCGAGCCCCCGTTCTGCGCTCAAGAGCGCGAAAGAAAGCTGCCTCATGAGGCGGCAGCCACACCGGAACCACTTGAAAGGGCGCGGGCTGCCAGCTCGCACTCTTGACAACCCGTGCGCCCTCCAAGCCCCAATGTTCTTAAGTCGGTGTGTCCTGGCATCCGGCGCTTTCCAAGCCGAAAAATGCTGTGGTCTCCCGGGCACTCTGAGCAACCCCTTAGAAATCTGTGGGCATCACCGTCACTTGTGCCCACGTGATTCGCAAGTGACCCACGTTCTTGGTGCGGGGGGAGTGGAGGGGTGGGGGGTCGGGTAAAATAATACCGTTGTCTCACGCGCTGCATCACAACCACATCCACTCAGACAGGGTGGGGAAGTTTGGTGGGGGGGGGGGGGTGATAATAATTAACATGGTTTCACATACGCGCATCACGCCATGTGCACTGAGTCTAGGGGGTCGGGAGATGGGGGGTGGGAAGCATTGCGTTGATTCAGCGGTGCATCACAATCAGACGCGGTGGGGGGAGGAGGGGGGGGTGGTGCGCAGGACGTGGCAGTAACGCGAATTTTGGCGTGACAAGCAGCTCCTCCTGTGGCCCTGCTATGTTTCAAAGCCAAAATGCGGGCACAACTGACCGGTCAGCATGCGGGTCGCGAAGCTTGTTGCCTCCTTTTTTTGCCTTCAGCTCCGGTCTCAGATCTCTCTGCTGACATGGTTGCCACTCACCCAGCACGGTTTTGCGGCGTACATAACCTTGATCAGCTTGTGTGCCAACTTCACGGCAGTGAGCCGCTGCGCCAGGACATCGAGCACTCCAAGAGCATCGTTGCTCTCGATGTAGTTCACTGCTGTTGTCAACGTGGCCATTGTGCGTCCTCAGCCCCACCTCGTGCGCCAGGTGTGCTTGCTGCGCACCTGGGTAAGGTCAAACATTGGCGGGGGGGGGGGGGGGGGGGCATCCTCTTCATGCACTGCGACTGCTCCATGTGGAGCTCCACAGACATGAGGCAGGGCATGATAAATGACACTCACTGAACGCGAGCGCAAGGAACATGCCCACACATACGGCCTGCGCAGCTCCCCGGAGCGAAGCCAACGCCGCAGGAGGCGTTCAAAGCTGCCGTTTCCACGAAGAGCCTCGCCGGGGAGCGTTGCGGGTACTTGTGGGGGTTCCGGGGAACCTGCTAGGCTGAGCATGGCAGTCGAATCAACAAGACGCTCATAGACCCGGCCCCTTTGTCTCAGGTCCTTCTAGGGCATTCGCCGGAAATCGGTCGCCGCAAACGGCGCCACTCCAGCAAACGTGTGCCTTTGGGAATCCTTTGGGAAAATCGACGTGAAACGTAGCAGCTGCTAGACCGGCGCCACTCATTTCGGATGCTCACCGGTCACACACCGTCAGGTGCTCCGCTTCGTGAGTTACCTGGACTGTGCGCGCTGGGCATCCGCAAGAACTCGGCCCAGAGCCTATCCATGCCTTCAATCTGACGCAGAGGAGTCAGAGGAGTCGGACCAACCGAAACGGTGTTCCACCGGCATTCTTTCCTTGGGCATCTTGGGTCGGTAGCTTTCTTCACGCTTCAGTTCCTGAGAGTGCACCTTCTTCTCTTTCATGGCGTGAGGCACTATGTAGCAGTACCATGCTGGTATGACAGAGATCGACAATAGGCCACCCAAACTCGCAATGAACACCTGAGCCTTGACGCTATGTCCTCCCTCAAAGTGGCTTTTGAACCAGGTGTTTTCGAACAAGATGCTGAGAGCCCTCTCGTTCAGCATCGTCTCATAAGACGTGTCAAAGGCCTTCTCCCAACAAATGCCCATGAGCATGCCGAAAGCAATCACCGCTTTCCGCACGCTCTTGGCCACGCTCTTCGACTCCGATGAGTTCCAGGACTCCTCGTTCCCGCCCTCTGCGGCCTGCTCTGCATCTTCTTCATCTTCTTCATCTTCTTCGGTCGCAAAGAAACGAAACTTGTTCTTGATCCAATCTGCCAGCTTGGTGACCGCGAACAAGCCGGTCAGCGCAATTGCTGACATGGCCAAGGCGTTCGCGATCTGTGTGCGGTTGGCGGCTTGCTCCGGATGCATTTTTAGATCTGGACATTCATGTTCATGCCCATGGCACCTGTGGTGCATATACTTTTTCAAGTACCAATTCATTCGGTCCTCTATGCCCCCATAGAGGCCGATGACTCCAGCACGCTGTGCGCACCACGCGGCCGCGATTGGCAAAGCTTGACCGATGCATGTCAGCAAGAAGGCGAAGAAGCCGGAGCCATCGGAAGCCTGAGGAGATTTCAGAAATGGAAAAAGCTTAGTTCAGGTCATTCAGGTGAGCTTACTTGGCACCCCCGAGGCAGAAGGTCTCGCGTGTGTTGGGAATCTCGCTTCGAAATCATTTTGAAGATCTGCACTCGCAAGGCCTCCTCTTGCTCGATGATCGCCGCTCGCTGTGCTCGGAGGGACCACAAGATGGAGGCAAGCATCCTAAGGTTTGGGCTCCAAGCACAGAAAAGGTTAGCCTATGTTAGCCAGAAAAGTGCCTTTGCTTCAGGACAAGGAAAAGGATGGTACGTGAGTGAGCGAAAGAGATGGAGAGGGAGAGAGGGCGAGAGCGAGCAAGCGAGTGAGGCATCGAGGGGAAAAAGAACATCATGCAACGTATGAACCCCTGCATTGCAGCCCAAGCATCAGTCCAGAGGCAAGAAGGAAGAGCCAGAAAACGCAGAAATCGATGTGAGTCCCAAACTCGCCATGCATGATGGGCATGAATCGCCCTGCCTCGCATTCACTGCTGGGTTCCTTATCACACTCAAGATCTCCCGAGTGGTAACACGGGTCACATTCGGTGCTCATGTGGTAGCACACAGCCTGCACCAGCAGGAAGGACACAGTAATGGCACATGCCTCCGTTAAGGCGTCCCTAGCTTGATGGGCTTGCATGTGCTTGTGATCCTGGCCACAGCACCTCGCCAAGAGGCAGCTCATGAGCCTCATGGCCAGGAAGAAGACGAAGGCAAGCAGAGGCACAAGCCAAATCCAGATTGGGAGGGAGAGCCAAGGCGGCCATCCTTCGAAGAAGACGTGCGCCTCCTGCAGAAGGCCGAAAAACAAGACGGCCAGGAAAGCACAAATGTGGCCACCCATGGTGCTCAAGGCGAACAACTGTTGATGCCGATGTTCATCGATGGACAGAAGCACATAGTGGAGGAGCAGAGGTGCGAGACAGGTGAACCCCAAAACCAGGCTCAGAAACCCCCAGCTTTGCTCTGGAGCTTCCCACTGCTCCTCTGGGAGAGCCAACCTGATACACCGATACAAGGCAAAGTCAATGCCGGCGGCGCAGAAGATCGAGATGGTCGTGTTCACCAAGGCCCAGGCCTCTTTGCGACTTAGGAAATGTGGGCTTCGGACTTAGGGCTCCAAACGTAGGGCTTTAGGGGAATTTAGGGTTCTGTTTCCGCCTATTATGACGGGTTGAGGGTTCAAGGCCCAGGCCTCCTTCCTGATATCCTTGTTGTTCCAGTGCAGGAGGCAGGCTAAGAAGCCGGAGAACACCACGAAGGCGATCAACAGCGAGGCGCTGGTCCAAGTCACGTCGTCCAACTCCCTCGGAGCTTCGGCTGAGGCGGCTGTGGCAGGTGACTCCGCCTGCAGCGCCTCCTGGCCCGAGGCCATCGCGGCCAAGGCCAGCAGGAGAGCTCGCGCCATGGCTGGGGGTCCTGTAAGGCTACTTGGAGGTTCTGCGAATCGGCTGGATGCCTATCTCTGACCTAAATCCTCAACCGTCTTCATACACCCGAAACCCTAAACGGCCCTAACCCTCCAACGGGTAAAGCGGACCGGCCCCAGCCCAACGGCGGGGTTGCCGGCCGCCTTCTCAGCACCCCGATTGCGAGGCCCTGAGCTGCTGGCCGCGGAAGGTATGGTGAAAACAGGAATGACATGAAAGCTACGATGCGCAGCGCGTATGAATGTGTTGGTTGGTGTGTGCGTGTGCGTGTGCATGTGCGTGCGTGTGCGTGTGCGTGTGCGTGTGCGTGTGCGTGTGCGTGTGCGTGTGCGTGCGCGTGCGCGTGCGCGTGCGCGTGCGCGTGCGCGTGCGGGTGCGTGTGCGTGTGCGTGTGCGTGGGCGTGGGCGTGGGCTTGGGCGTGAGCGTGTGCGTGCGCGTGTGCGTGCGCGTGCGCGTGCCTCGTGCGCGGCGCGTCGCGTGCGCGTCGCGTGCGCGTGCGCGTGCGCTGCGCGTGTGCGCGCGCGTGCGGCGTGCCGCTGCCGCGTGCGCGCGTGCGTGCGTGCGTGCGTGCGTGCTGCGTGCGTGCGTGCGTGTCGTGCGTCGTGCGGCGGGCTTGCCGTGTCGTGCGTGCGTGCCGTGCGGCGTGCGTAGCGTGCGTGCGTGCGGCGTTGCTTGCGTGCGTGGCGTTGCGTCGGCGTGCGTGCGGCTGCGTCGTGCTTGCGGCGGGTGCGTGCTGGCGGCTGTCGGTCGTGCGTGCGTGCGTGCGTGCGTGCGTGCGTGCGTGCGTGCGTGCGTGCGTGCGTGCGTGCGTGCGTGCGTGCGTGCGTGCGTGCGTGCGTGCGTGCGTGCGTGCGTGCGTGCGTGCGTGCGTGCGTGCGTGCGTGCGTGCGTTCGTGCGTGCGTGCGTGCGTGCGTGCTCGGTGCTCGTGTGCGCGGGTGCGCGTGGTGCGCGTGTGCGCGGGGTGCGCGTGTGCGCGGTGCGGCTGGTGCGCTGGTCGCGGGTGCCGTGTGCGCGGGTGCTCGGGTGCGCGGTGCGCGTGTGCGCGGTGCTCGGTGCGCAGGGTGCGCGGTGTGCGCGGTGCCGGGTGCCGTGTGCGCTGGTGCGGGGTTGGCTGGGGGTGGCGGGGGTGCGGGGGTGCGGGGCGCGGGTGTGCTGGGCGCGGGCGCGTGTTCGGGTGCGGGTGCGTGGCGGGGGCGGGTGCGTGTGGGTGTGTGTTGTGTGTGTGTGTGTTTGGTGTGTGTGTTTGTTGTGTGTGTGTGTGTGTGTGTGTGTGTGTGTGTGTGTGTGTGTGTGTGTGTGTGTGTGTGTGTGTGTGTGTGTGTGTGTGTGTGTGTGTGTGTGTGTGTGTGTGTGTGTGTGTGTGTGTGTGTGTGTGTGTGTGTGTGTGTGTGTGTGTGTGTGTTGTGTGTGTGTGTGTGTGTGTGTGTGTGTGTGTGTGTGTGTGTGTGTGTGTGTGTGTGTGTGTGTGTGTGTGTGTGTGTGTGTGTGTGTCTTTGTCTTTGGCAAAGGGAATGGAAACTGAAGGCTGCCAGTCAGCGAGAGAAAGAGGGGTGTAGGGTAGGGTCTTAGAAATCGGGGTTTGGCGAAAGTAGTGGCCACTCTTCTTCATGAACCAACGGAGAAGAGAAAAAACAACTCATGTGCTGTTGTAGCGTTTGCCAGCTTATTCCAGAAGTTAGTAAACAGCTCCCCGTCATAAATCCTAGCAAACACATGCGCGTAAGGATACCCTAACCCTAAACCCGAACCATGCACCTAAACTAAATCCATAAACTCCAGGCCTCTCCCGCTCTTTGCCGCAGCGTCTGGAGGCCATCATCGCTGTGGCTCAAACAAGGGCCAGGGCTGGGCGTCTAGGGTTTGTGGGTTCAAGGCTTAGGGGGAATGGGCCTAGCACCTTCTGGAAAAGATGAGGGCCGAGGGGTCGCTGTTTATAGGAGCTGGTGGAACTGTTCAAATTCGAGATGCGTGTCTAAAAGGGAAACTGACCTATGATGCTATCTGGAACAAAGCCCCAAAGAGCCACTACACGAGAGAACAGCGCAACAGTGATCACGTGCCAACCACAGGAAACCAGCCCACTGCAGCTACTCACCAGTCATCAGTTGGCTTTCACTGTTCCCATCTCATGCATCCAAAGCTATATGATTAGCTGGCTTTACTATTCAAAACCTAGGACCTCAAGCCTAACTTTCCCAAATGCTCGCTTGCATTCTGATTGGTGGATGCGCGTGGCAAGAACAACAATGCTCCCTCTTTTGGGTTGTCCACAGGAAACATTGAACACAGAAGGGGACAAAACCCTGAGCAAGGATGCGACTGCGACTTCCTCGTCAAAGCCAGTCAAAAACGGCTTGCCTAAAAAATCTGAGATCTTTGCAATGCTCTTACAATAACATTAACGCCGGCTCGAAAAGATCATGCGGTCGCTCACAGGCGCGGGGATCCGGGATGGCTAACAGCATAGCTGTTGAGGAGCACGCCCAACACGCTTTCCCCCAAGTACTTGCGGATTCAGGAGCACACCTAACATGCTTTCCCCTTGGCCTCTGCTCGTGGGGGGTATCTTTGGGGACGTGGGCCCGGTCCACACCAAGCTGGCACCCGCCAAAGAGGCAAGCCACTGCAGGAGGGGTTAGGTTTCATGGTTCGAGCCTTTAGGGGCCCGGCCTTAATCTAGACCTAAGACCTAGGTTTTGACCTCCGCCTGGCGCCAGAAGATGCTTGGCTTGTCAGCTGAAACCTGTGTCGGTTAGAAAACGAATCCTTTCTTTCGAAGCCCCCCCCCCCCCAAGAAAACCTTCAAAGCCTCTCCCAGAAATGATGACATGGTCACTTCATAGTCCCCACTTGAGCGCTCGAACCCCGGCCTGAACATCGCTACCGTCTCGTCAAGGTCCGCACGAGGGGAATGACGCCAACGCTTGTCCCACAAGGCCTTGACCACCTCAGGGGTGGGAGGGGGTCGCGCATGTTCCGAGCCTTATATAAAGACCAAGAAGAACCAGAAGCCAAGCCAGACTGGGCCAGACTCCTCAAGCCTAAAAATCCTCAAGCCGAAAGCTTCCGAGGCAAGCTTTCATCCTGGTTGGCCGGCCCTTGTCACCTCGAGCTGATGGCCTAGCTGCACCAGCGCGGCCGCAGCCCCAACACCATCGGTCAGGTTGGTCTTTGACAGGGGGAGTGCTGTGGTCAGAGGATTGAGTGTTCAAATTGAGTGTTCAAATTGGGAGCTCTGTTCCGATGGCCTCTTTGAAGCTCTGAGAGGCTGCCTTTTCCCAAACACTGCCTGCACTTCGGGTTTCTTCATGTTGCTTCGGGAGAGTCGAGGGAACTTGCTTCGACGCAGCGCCCCGCAGGGCCGCGAAATCGATGGACTTCTCTCGGTCTCGGTATCTCATGGTGACTCCTGAGTGGGCCCAAGCTCTCGGCCTAAGCACCTGCGGACGCCTGCGGGCATTCCCTGCTCTGAGGCTTACCCCGCTTCGTGTCCCGAAAACGTGGCAAGGACGCACTTAGGTCACCTGCCCCAAGCATCTCCTTGCATTTTGGGTTCCTGGATGGGTTCCCAGATCGCGCTCTCGCGCCTCGGCCCCGTGGGATGCCCCTCTCGTGAAGTGCAGAACAGCCTTTTGGGCCCCTGGAGTGCTTCTTCTTCTATTTCTTCTTCTTCCTCCGCTTCTCCTTCTTCTTCTTCTTCTTCTTCTTATTCTGCGTATTCTTCTCCTTTTTCTTGTCTTCTTCCCCTCCGTTTTCTTCTCCTTCTCTTTCTCCTTCTCCTTCTCCTTCTCCTTCTCGTTCTCCTTCTCCTTCTTCTTCCGCTCGCTCGCTAGCTCACTCGCTCACTCGCTCGCTCTCTCTCTCTCTCTCTCTTTCTTTCTAGGGGCTTGGGGCCTCTCTCTCTCTCTCTCTCTCTCTCTCTTTCTTTCTCTCTCCCATAACCTCTGCAGCAGGAAGACCCTGGACCCAACCCCTGCAGCCTCTAGCTGCCTGCGCGCCAAGGAGGTCAGCTCAGCCGGCAGCACAGCGGATCCGGCCAAGCAGTGCTGCTCCTGAGGCCAAGAGGTCGACGTTGCTACGATTCCGGTTTCCGGCGAACAGGTCTCCTTCGGAACAAGGAAGTGGGGCGAGGAAAAAGGACTCGAGAATCGTTCGGGGCTGTAAGCACTTTGTCGTCAACACACCTTATACAGTATTCCCAGTGCTGCTCTATGCTACCTCGACTCCTCACACCACGAAGCTACCCCGATGCTACCCGCAAATGCAATATGAACAGCTGGCTAGCACATCGCAACGCTCTTGTAACTTACCAACTTTACGAAGTTAAAGAGACCCCCACAGCTCCGGGAAGTTTCTCAAGCACAGGCGGTGCATGAATCCAAAAGATGGCCAGCCAGTGAGGATGAAATTCCTTGGAGCCAATCTCGTGTTTTTTTCTGGCGTGTTTGGGTGGATGCTAGAGGCTCAGAGGCTCAGAGGTTGAACTTGGAAGGTTCTGGAAACGACCTGGGACTGTAGACCCTGGGGCTTGCTTTGGGATGGGGCTCGGATTGGCTTGTCGTGGGTGACATTCCTCAGCTTTGTGTTCTTTGATGTGGGGGGTTCAGTGTGTCCAGGGTGCCTCCCCGAATGGCGGGAAACAGGGGAAAAGTGCGGTGCCGAAGCAGCATCTGCGTGAAAGCTGCTTCTCGCAGGTGCAAGCCGAGAGCAGAGGGTGGACAAGAAGCAATCCAGACTTGTGCAGCACTACAGTCACTACAGTTCACAATCTGCTGAATACACTCGAACCAATTCAATCAACTTCAGTCAACCTTGAATTGATTTGAGGTTTCCCTTTGCCTCACCAAGCCGCAGCAAAGGGACAAGGCCGTAGAGCCCAAAACCTGGAAGACGAATTTTGGCTTCATGAATTGAGCAAGTAGGAAGCATTTAAACATTCTTTAAAGAACTGTCATATCTCATGGGCCAGAGCGCCCATAGCCCGGGTGCGGCCCACGTCGAGGTTCCTGGCCGCCTGGGGGCCGAGGGCATCGAACTCCATGAGGTTGAGCCTGGAGTGTTTTTTTGTCATGAGCCTGTGAGTCTGACTGAAGGCTCTAGCACGCTGCTTCGAGAAGCTAAGGCCTGATGGAACTTTTCGGGACAGCATGACACGGGCTGGGGTTGACATTCCTCAGGGCTGAGAATCCCCTGTCATGCCAGCACTTCGATTGCTTGGGATCCCTGTGATGTTGCATGCAAGCAAACAGCCAAGAACAGGAACATAAGATGGTCGACACTGCTGGACTAGCCTAGACAAGGTGTCAAGACTTATGAGGTTCTTCTGTATCAGCTATGAGAAAGTCGAGGTGCACATGGATGCCAAAGGGGCAGGCGTGCAAGTCCTGTCAAAGGCTTGCCGTCGAAAGAGCTACTGTCAATGGACTGCGTCCTGATCGCATTCCCTTGGATATTGGGCGATGAAGTTGGATCTCTGCTGTCTTGCCTGTGTCTGCGTCTGTGTCTTTGTCTGTGTGTGTCTTCTGTGTGCCTGTCCGTCTGTCTGTTTGTGTGGGGGCTGAGGGCAAGTGGGCGGGAGGGGTCGAGCAGGTTCGTGTCTTCTGCGCGTGTGTGTATCTGCATAGTTCGCTGATGTCTATCTACTCAACCTACTGGGTCCATTGTCTATCTGTCGTTCCCTCTTGTCCCTTCTCCTTTGTCCCTCAGTTTGTGTTTGTGGCCTACCCTTGAAACCTGAACTCGCGACACTGTTGAGGCGATGCTGGGCACAACGCTGCTACTCATGTGGAAAGCCTTGCTTGCAGTTTTCTTTTGTGTTGTGGAAATCGTCGGGGCGCATAGTCGCAATCACCTAGTCACCAGAATCACCACGTGAGCGACGGCCCAACTCCGAGCTAGACTCATCCATGGCCACACCAATGCTTGCTGCCTGCGCGATGTCTTTGACCCAGCTCTGGCCAGGCGTCCATGTGGTTCGGCCTCCACAGCAGTCAAGGGATCCAACACATTCAATATCAAAACCGAATCTGAGAAGGCAACCAATGCCAGGGCTCTGCAGGTTAGCTTCGCGGCGGGAAATCACATGTCAAAAAATGTCCCTGGATATCCCTGGTAGCCCTCATTTCAACAGCCTTCAATGCCTTTGCCTGCCAACACGTCATCAGCCGTTCGCCTTAGGCGCTGCCACAGGACCTGCGTGTGGATGGGCGATTGCAAGCTACAAGGCCAAGACGACGTACCCGCATAGCTGCTTCCAGAGGGCTATGAGGGCTACGCAATCTCAGGCCCATACCTGCCCACCGTGAGAACTCTCCCCGTGCCGATATGTGCCGATATATATATATATATATATGTATTATATTTGTATTTATTACTTATATATGATATGTGTGTGTATGATGTATATGATGTGCATGATGTGTATGATGTGTATGATGCGTATGATTTGTATTATGTGTATGGTGTGTATGATGTGTATGATGTGTATGATGTGTATGATGTGTATGATGTATATGATGTATATGATGTATATGTATATGTATATGTGTAAGACAACTATCTTTATGGCGATTTCTCGAGCGCAATGGGGGTGCAACCACAACCACTCCCACTATAGAGAGGGCGTTGAAACACCGACAAAAAAAGGGTATAAACACCAAAGAAAACCTGTAAAGCGCCCGCAAAAAAAAACAAAAACTCTTAACGACTCATCGTTCGCGCACTGCCTGGAGATGATTTCACATCGAGCAAACTGCGGCGGCCATTTGACTAGAAATTTCGGCCAAGACAAGGCAGGTTTTGAAGTCAAACGGCCCACTGACTGAAAGATGGTCATTTGATTAGAAATTCCGGATTCTCGGCCTAGAAAAGGCAGTTTTTGCAGTCAAACGGCCTGCTGACCGAAATAGCATGGGCAGGTTTTGCAGTCACCTGAGTAGGCAAAACACCGATGGGGGGGCTTATAAGTACCACGTGCCCAGTTTGCCTGTTTCCAGTATCTCCTTCTTCTTCTTCTTTTTCTTCTTCTTCTTCTTCTTCTTCTTCCGCCTTCTTCTTCTTCTTCTTCTTCTGCCTTCTGCGCATGGGGCTCATAGTCTCTCTTCTTCTTCTTCCTCTTCCTCCTCTAGAACTGGACTATGCTCCGGCCTGTTGGTTGACCCAGCCGCAGCTGTGGTCATCTGGATGGTAGCCGCTTGTCGCCCCTGGCCTGCTGCCAGTGTCAGCAACACACGGGGCCCTGCATTTTGGGGACCTGGAAACGGGGAGCGTGAAACTATGCTGAATGACTAGCCGGTGCCGCTGCCAATTTTGAAGCATACAGCTTACAGCTCCTTTGAGCTGGGAACCCACGGCCCTCCAATCCTCCACAGAGCCAGTACTTGTGATTTGAAGCTCTTAACAACTAGAACTGATCCAGAACCCACCAGTACGGTTCTGGATCATGAACTAGGAAATATGAAGTATCAGATGAAAGCCCTGGGGCATGGGCCCTGTGAGCACAGCGACGAGCCCCCAAGATGCCTGGTCAAGGACAAAAAGGATGAAGGGGTAGAGAGAGTGTTGCCTGTATATCGATGCTTTTCGACTCTCACGGCTAGCAGCTAGCACACGGGCAGTTTTACGATTCTGGAAGAATCAGAGGGTGTGTGAGGTATGTTCGTCTTCATCCAAGCGGACTAAGCCGAAAGCACCCCTTAAGACTAGTGACTTAAGATAATGCCTCGGCTCATGGGCTGGGTCCCTGTACTCCAAGCAGAGTGAGTCTGGGAACTGTACTGTAGCTTCGTGTGGGTTTCACTGGGCTCTGCAGGAAGGTTTGAGCAGGTGCCCGATTGTAGCGAGCACTCTCATGATAAGGAGATTGACGTCTAGAAAATGCTAAGGGTGCAATGCCGAACATCTCATCAAAGTGACTAGGAAGAGCTTTTATGGTTTGATCACTTTGCCATAAATAGGGATCTTCACGTGAGGAGGTGGTGGAGATGTGCACATTTCGCCGGGCCTCGCATCGCAGGCGCAGCTCTGACTCGGGTTACTCCTGGCCACGTTTCTTTTGAAACGGGACTTCTGTCGGACCCTATCGCCAAGCATCGCCAAGCATCCGTCTTTGATGCTGGGCATTTGGCACAGTGGCGAAACTTCTCAGCCTGGGCCTATCCACGCTTCGAAAACAAAAGCTGGGCCGCTCAAGATGCGAATGCACACGTCGAGCCAGGCCGAGGCAGAACTTGCCACGACTTAGCTGCCGAAGCACGAACCGCATTCAGCTCGCATTGTGAGGAACAGTTGAGTTCCAAGCCGCTGCAGAAAGAAGAGGGAGATAAATGGACGCTTGGTGTATATGTGATGCTCATATAAACTGTCCATGCCAACAAGAACGATCGTATGCAAGTCTGTCCCTCACTTGTGTTGACTGGCTTGCGAGTGCACGCGCGAATTCCGCGAAAACCCAGGGCTGGAGCGAAGACGACTTCAGGATTGTCAGGCTTATGCCCTATCTGCCCATTGTGCAGTTGATGTCATGGAGGCCAAGTTAAAAATGCAACAGCATATAGACCTTGAAAGCACCAAGCTTGCCAAGCTTCTCAACCCCAACAACAAACGACGAGGTTGCATGAACTACGTCAACTACGTCAACTACGTGAAAGCTCAGCTGCTTCGCACCCGAAGTCGCTCTGTCTTAGGCGGACAGTTCCAAGCTGTATCTGTAGGGCGTCATCTCATTAACGATGGCTTTCACGTCATCGAGCCCTGCCTCGGCATGGGTTTAAGGTCGGCAAAGGGGTTTCCGCGCTTCGAAGGGGATGCGGGGATGGCTCGGAGCGGATTCGGGAAAAGTTGCTGCTTGGATTGCCCCCTTCTTTAAGATTTCGAAAGCCAGGCTCCCTGAATACCGCCCTTCTGTTGAGACAGAGTGTTCTCAGCGGTCAAAAGCCATGCTGCTTCAAATTTCGGAAGTTGCGGAGTTGTTGAAGGGTTGTGGTCTGGAGGCCTTCAGCGCAACAGGCAAGGCAAGACCCAAGATTCCTTTCCGGCCTCAAGCTCGCTCGTCGACTTGTGCAGAATCCGCAGCATCCTGAGTAGAAAGCCAGAAACGGAGAACATCCAGAACCGGACTCAGAAATCTCGGAAGTCTGTTTCCCTGAACGTGCAGTAAGCCAGAAATTACATGGATTTCTTGGCGCAGTGCAGTATGTACCTTGTGGCACCTCTTGGCTCTCATGGTTCGGGGTATGTTGGGTTTGTGTGTTGATTGCATTTTGCTGACTTGCTCGCTTTATTGTTGGTTTCTTGTGTTTGCTTGCTTGTCTTGCTTACTTGTTTTGCTCGTGTACTTGGATGTCTGCTGTTTGGTGTGTGTGTCTGCATGCTCGTCTGAATGCATCTTTTGGTCTTTGTTCGGATCTGTGCTGTTTGTGACTGTTTGTCCTTGTTAGGTTGTGAGTCTTTGTTCTTGATTTTTCTCTGTCATTCCCACCCTCCAGAGATAGGATCCTTCGATTCTGAACTCAAGGTCTCCTCACCCCACGCCTGGAATCGCCATGTCGAAGGGGTCCTCTTCTCCCTAACGCCACCCAAATAATCAAGATGTTACACTCTGCGTTTCTCGTCTGTCTGGGTGCACACATAGCCGGTGTCTTGACACGTGACATCTGCATGGGCGTGTATCCGTGCGCGCACAGGAATGCTACAAGCGCAGCAATGCAATGCCTGGTTCGCTCTCAGTGGGCGACCGTCCTTGAGTTGTGACCACACAAATATTTCGTGTATCTCTGAAATTCTTATTGCAGATATTCAAACTCCCCCCAAGTATTCTCGAAAGAAGCACCTCGTTACGACGACGACGATGTCCTTGAACCCGGATGCCGACAGCAAAAGCCTCAAAAAGCCCCAGCGGCTTCATCATCTGCAACGATGACAGCGGCACCTCGCGGAGGAAGATGTCCAAGATCCCCTGGAGCGAAGCTCCCCAAAAAAGGTATAGTAGGGACCGAAACTGGGGGATGGACTCCCAGGTTGTGACTTTTTTGGGGCCGAGGCATGCACGAGGGGGGAGCCAGGGAGCGCATGGGCTTCTGAGCGGAACCTCGCACCTCTGTGAACTCGTCCTTGGTGATGCGCCCAGACTTGTCCACGTCCAGCATGTCAAAGAGCTCCTGGGCCCCCAAGTCCCGACTGAGAGTTTCTTTGGGGTCCGATTCAATCCATTGTCGAAAGTCGCAACTAAGGTCAGAAATAAACTAAAGGCCCAAGCCCTTCGAGTCCGCATCATCCCTGGCATGTTGCCGCCAGGGGCACCGTCATACTTTCAACGGAGGCCCGATCAAGGAAGTGCCTTGCTTGTTGGCTGGGCGCTCAGAATTCTAGCATGCAGGGTGCGAAGAGTGGCATGATAGAAGCAACTATTTGCATTGCTTTTTTTGTTGAGTTGTAGGCAAGTCCATAGTCACTGTCGCAAAATGAGAAGCAAGGTGCCAAGCCACAGTTCTCAAGACAGAAACCACGACCTCAAGTCCGAAAAAGCCGTGCTCAAAAAAAAAGTCCGTGGTGCGGGGGAACCGTGTGGAGACCGCTCTTCTCGAACCTGCCGTGGTTCGAAAATGGCAATCAAGCGCGACATGCCTAGCATTTCAGCGCATGCTTTAGAAAAGGAGCTTGTTACGGCGTTTAACGCTGCCCCCAACCTTTAAGAGGGAAAACTAAATCCGCATGTTGGTTAAACCCTGAGGAACGGCGAGTGAGTTAAATAATGCGAGTGAGCAAGTTTGCCAACGTCGAAGAAACGGCTTGGAGCTCCGTCATCTTGAACAATCTTAGGCTACTCCCCTCCATGTTGTCATCCACAAGACAACCTGACACCACAAACATGGGAAGACTTTGCCGACTTTGCGCTCGCCGAAGACTCCCGTGCTGGGCGCGGGACTTCTCCATCTCCTCGATCACGATCTCCCCGCTACCATCCTGGTCGACCGTGTCGAAAAGCGAAAGGATTCCAGGCAGCATCTGCCTCAAGGTGAACAAGTTAAACAAATTCTCACAACTCTCCTTGCCGGAGCTTGTAACCCCAATCTCAACAAATCTCAGAAAACGTTCAATAGCTCACGTCGAGCCACTTCGCAGTGACCATGCCAACTTTCGCCTCCAGCTCCCGGTCCTGCCGAGCATGCTCCAACGCCCCCTCGACCAGGACCGCAGTCACCAAGTTCCTCGCAGCGCTCTCTTGTCTGGGGGGGTCTCCGCTGTGCTGAAACAATTTCGTGTCATCCGGCTTGCATCTACCAGGCAAAGCATGCGACATGCATTGAACCATCGAAGTGTGCTTGCAGCCCCAAAACAGGCCGGGAAAGGTCTTCCCGCGTGGTTTCTCGACTACAGCGGCAAGACGCTACGGACGCCACGTGAGCTGGTCCACAGCTGCCGATTGTGGCGGCTTACTGCGGCCTCGCTGGAGGATCCTTCTGCACCCTGTTTGCACAAAACCGTTTCCCACTCCATCGCTGCGTGGGACGATGCGGCCGTCGCTCACAGAAGGCGACACACCTATGTGCATGTAGTTACTTGCCTGCCCACCCATCCCAAAGATCATCCTGATCAGGCTCACAAGACTTGAGTCTCAGAGAGCACTGTGCCCCAAATAGAACTGCAAGCTTGGACTTGAAGCCAAGCTGTTGTGCCTGTTTCTGCGATGCTCCTGCGGCCATCGCATGACGATGGGCATCTGGACGATGTTGCACTTGCTGTGAAAACTGGTGAAAGCCACCACACAACTACCAGCCAATGCCGACTTCTCGTCCGGACAGGGCAGGGTAAGGACACCAGAAGAAGGAAGCGACAACAAGGTCAACAAAGGGATGCGGGTCTTGCATTGTTGGTTTGCCCTCGGCACGCAGAGAAAAAGCGCAGCAAAGACCCCCACTTGCCTTCGCGAGACCATGAAATGAAAAAGCTTGGCTGGACTGGGCAAATTGGGCAAAGAAGAGACAGAACAAAGTCAAGCACATGCCTTTACACCTTGCGTGAGTTTGTTTTGCTGGCGGCAAACTCCAGGTCGAGCACCTGCTCGTCTTCGCCAGAGAGTGACTTCTGACTGCCGTGACCGGTAAGATCCCCGTACCAACTGCAGGAAACGCGTCAGCAATGAAGTACTCACAAAACCCGCACCCTTATACTGCACTGCATGAGGCATGTTGGGGCCACCCAGCTTGCATGTTCGGAAGGCGCTGGGTTTCTTTGCCAAAAAGCTTTCTGCAGGGCTTCACCGCACCTCGCCTTCTCACTGTTTAATTGCTGGGTCCTGCACACTACTCGTTGGTGGTCAGGGTTCTGCCGTGCTGCGACACCGCTCTTAAGACTTGGGACGAGCACCTCTGAAGCTTGGCGGAGTCGGGCACGCTTTCCCAAACACCCGAGCTGCCTTAAGCCAGACTAAGCTTCGGGCTGGTGAAGGCTGACGTGCAGACAACAAAGCTGCCAAAGCTGCCAGGCTCGGGAACTAGGCCGAGGCTCATCAGTGCAATGGA